TGATGCTGCGCGAGCCATCGGTCCGAGTCCGCGAGGCAGCGGCGGAGCAGCTGGAGGAGCGACAAAGCGACTGGGCCTACTCGCGGCCCATTATCGTATTGGACCTCTTGTGGAACGCTGGGCTTCTGGGGATTGCAATTGGGGTGCTGTGGCTGAGCCGTGAAGAGAGCCCCTTGGTGCCATTGAGGACTTGGATTGTTGGATACGCGTTTCAGTGCCTGGTCCACATGGCCTGCGTAGGCGTGGAGTGCACGCGGCGGAGGCGCGTGGGTGATGTTGCGGTGGCGGAAGAGAGTCCTCGATGGGAAAATTCTTCTGGGTCTGGGAGTGATGATGGTGAGGACTATGGAATTGAACAGAGCGTGGACTATGCTAGCACCAGGTCTTTTTCTTTTTCTTATAATATTTTAAAAGTTTTAATTTTTGGGTTTTGCTTCTGAGAGAGGCTTATACAAAAACTCACTTTTCATTTCTGTTTTTATCAAAATTTGAACGGGGTCTTAACTCTTAAGTCTTAACAGTTACTGTTTGTTGTAATTTAGCTGTTGCAATATTGTTTTTGGGCTGGATTTGAGCCTCCATTTCTCAAATAAAGATTGTGACCGAGCTTGAGGAGTAGAGCAACAATCCTTTTGTAGTATTCTAGCTCATGGTGTATGTGTATGTATTGAAGAATCTTCTGACTGTTTGATGTGGCAGTGTTGCAAAACATTTGGAGTCAGCAAATACGGTGTTTTCGTTCATCTGGTGGATCCTTGGGTTCTACTGGGTGACTGCTGGTGGTGAAAGTTTGATAAGAGACTCCCCTCAATTGTACTGGTTCGTTTGAGCTAACTGGCCCTTTTATATCTGTTTTCTTTCAAGCCATTTGTGTGCATGCTGTTATCTTGTGCTTATAAAATGTGGGTTATTTTGCAGGATTTGTATCACTTTTCTTGCTTTGGATGTGGTTTTTGTTGTGATCTGCATTGCCGTTGCATCTCTCATTGGCATTGCCGTTTGCTTCTGTCTCCCCTGCATCATTGCTATCTTGTATGTTGTGACTGATCAGGTAGGTGCTCATAGGAAATGTTTGAGTTGATTCCAGATAACATTGTGGTGCTTGATACTATTCAGGGATATTCTGGTGCGCACTTGAAACTAATGAATTTGTTATTTGTTGCTTGTCTTATGGACATAAGCTCTAGGTTGATTGGTCAACATGACTATTTTGCAGTATAAAGCAACTGATCTTCTCAAGGCTATGTATACAGCAAATTAAGATTATATTGAGATTTTTCTTTTGGATAGAAAATTATGTTGAATTGTTACTAGGATTCTGAAATAAGGTCTAAACATGCCATGCTAAGATATCGTGCTGGATGCAATTGAGGATATTTTTGTAGGGAGTTCGCTCTTCCTTGTCAAATTTTGATCATGGTCTGTGTGTATGGAGTAATTACATCACTAGTGCACTTTTAGGTTCATTAATGAATTTCATCAACAAACCTGTGTGAGTTTCTACT